AGTTTCTCTTTTTGCATCTGACTGCTGCATGCTGTTTTTAATGTTTTTAAACAGCTTTTTCTTGGATCTGTAGTTGGCAGTATCTTTGTTTTTGTTCATAGTTACGTTTTTTCAGTGTAACTCAGAGTACAGTATTTGCAAAATTTAGTGACATTATTATAACAAAATTACTTTTATTTCTTTATTCATCTGTTATTTATATGAAGTTTCTCAATTTTTATCAATAAAAATAAAATATAGAAATAAAGTGATGGCAAAACCTGTTGTAATAATAGTTACTCATGGTATTCATATATCACTAATTTTATGTGCTACATCCGTACAGCAGAAAGCATTCACTCACATTAAAATTTGAAAAGATGTTAATTTAGATCAGAATTTAATTGCAATGTTAGAAATATCTGATATTTAAAATCCTGTCACAAAATCAGTTTCCATTTATATATGTATTTTATGGCAGAAAAGTACTACTGTATAACTGCAGTATTTTTACATTAGGGTAAAATTCTACTAATATGATTATTCATCTGTGTTTTCCCAACTGACCTTTCCCTTGGCCTGTAATGTATGAGGATCTCTTTAATTCTCTACAAGAACAGGATGCGTGACTGGAAACAGACAAGGGCTTTGCTTGTGTAGCACTTTAATCCCCTTTCCAGTCTGTGTTTTGCTGCTTGTAGTTTTGAATTCTGCTTTGCTTCTCTCTGAGCTTGTCAATCACTCTAGGAAAGTAGAATTCATGTTTTTTGGGAAACATCTTTTGTATTTTAGCTTGGTGGTCATATACCCTTGCTTCCTGTAGTTTAAGATCAGTAAGTGATTATTGGTCCTCCTATTTTCACTATTATTATTGTATATATTATTATTTTAGTTCATCAGTACAAGAAGTCACCAACTTACAAACAGGAGAGTGTTTGTAAGTCAGATTCGTTTATTAGTCTGACAAAGTGCGTCTTACACACCTTTTACACACACTGTATTGCAGTGTACAGTATGTACACAGCAGCACAACTGTGACAATGTACATGAGCTACTAATTTGGTGATTTGTGTGCTTCTCCAAATGCTGTGATGCAAGATTTTGTGAAAGTTTGAAACTCAGATGTTTGTAAGTTGGGGACTTAATTGTATTACTCTGAATTACTGCTGGAGCTCTACATTTTTACATTGTTTCTGAACCCAGGATTCTTCTATCAGCCCTGGCCTTCAAAGTGAAGTTTTTGTTGTTGTTTGTGTGCTTTTTTGAAATAAGATATTGCTGTGTAGCCCCAGGCTGGCCTTGAGCTTTTGATCTTCTTGCCTCAGCCTCTCAAATGTGGGGACTATAGGGATTCTTCAATGTATTTTTTTTTTTTTTTTTTTGTCTTTTTCATTTTTATCGGTACCAGGGATCGAACTCCTGACCGCCTGCTCGCAAGGCAGGTGCTTATGCCGCTGAGCTAAATCCCCAGCTCCTTCAATGTATTTTTAAACAGCTTTATTGAAATGTAATTCATGGGGCTGGGGATTTAGCTCAGCAGCATAAGCGCCTGCCTTGCAAGCAGGCAGTCGAGTTTGATCCCTGGTACTGATTAAAAAAAAAAAAAAGAAATGTAATTCACATACAGTAACATCTGCTCATTTGGAGTGTACTAAATAAATTGTTGCAACCAAACCACAGTCAATTTTTGGAACATTTTTGTGATCCCCGCCAAAAAGTTGAGTAACCTCATTCCCGGTACCCACACTCAGCCATTGGCATTAACTAATTTTTCTTTTTCTACAGATTTGCCTGTTTTGGACATTTCGTACACAGGGAATCGTAGGTGACTTTCACATGACCTCTTTAATTTAGTATAATGTTTTGAGGGTTTATATTGTACTATGTATTAGCAATTAGTTCCTTTTTATTCCCTAATAATATACTTACACCATATTTCTCTATTCATAGTTAATAGATCCTGGAGAGTTGTTTTTTTTTTAAACCTTTAAGCTGTTTTGAATAATGCTGCTATAAACATCATGCATAGATTTTCCTTGTTGTGTTTTGTGGTGATAGGGAGAAAACCCAGGGACACACATGTGTTACACAAGTACTCTTCTGCTGAGTTACAGCCCCAGCCCTGTGTACAAGTTTTTGTGTAATTTTTTTTCCTCTTACATATCCAGAAGTGGAATTCTATTTCATATTTAATGCAGAAATGGTCAAACTTATAATTATTTCGCATTCTGAAATGTGTCATTTTATTTTTAAAGCCATTCCAGTAGATATGTGATTGCATATTGATTTGATGGACATTTGTGCAGTGACTAATAATGCTGAATGATCGTTGATATGCTTCCTCACACCCTTTATCCCCGTCTTCCTTTTCCTCTCGTATACCAGGGACTTAACTCAGCATTATTCAACCATTGAACTATATTTCTAGTCCTTTTCATTTTTTTTTTTTTGTTTTGAGACAGAACTAAATTGCCCAGAGAACCCTTGAACTTGTAATGCTCTTGCCTCCAGAGTAGCTGGAATTACGGGTGTGTACTACTGTGCCCAGTTTATTGGTCATTTTAAATATCTCCTTTGGAGAGCTGTCTCTTCAGATGATTTGTTCATTTTAAAATTCGATTGTTTTTATTATTAAGGTGTGTTTTATGTATATTTTGGATACAAATCTCGGGTGAGTATATACTTTCAGAACATCATTTCCTATTCTCTAAGTTTATCTTTTTACCTTCATTATCAGTTGTACCACAGTTCTACTTTTTTTTTTTTTTTTTTTTTTGTCTTTTTCCTTTTTATCGGTACCAGGGATCGAACTCACAACTGCCTGCTTGCAAGGCAAACGCTTATGCCGCTGAGCTAAATCCCCAGCCCCACAGTTCTACTTTTTAATGATAACCAGTTTATCTTTTGTCACATATGCTTTTGATGGCATATCTAAAACCATACCCTTAACCCTTGGCCAGAAGAATTTATACCTGTGTTTCCACTATGAATTTATAATTTTAGCTTTTACATTCAAGACTAAGATCTACTTACAGTTAATTTAGTATACTTATGGTAATTTAGTGTGAAGTGGAATTCCAAATTCTTTTTGTCATACGTAGCTATCAGTTATTCTAGCATTTGCTGGAAAGAGTATTCTTTCCTCACTTAATAATTTTGGCACTTTTGGAAAATCATTTTGTTATTAATAAAATGATAAGCTTCCCCAAAAATGAGGATTACAGAGGGACTTTCTGACTTGTTAGTCTATGACCATACTATGAGCTACTTATTCTAGCTTTATACTAAGTTTTGAAGTTAGGAAATGTATATCTTCTAACCTTTTACTTCTGTTTTCAAGATGCTTTCAGCTATTATAGAGTATTGCCTCTTGACAATGTTAAGTTTTCTGATTTGTGAATATGCCCTGTTTTTTAGTAATAGACCTTTTAAAATTTCTTTAAACAATTTTTGTAGTTTCTATAGTATGAGCATTACACTTCTTTAAATTTATTTCTAAATATTTTATTGGTTTGTATGCTATTGTAAATGAAGTTGTATTTTTAATTTATTTATGGATTGTTCATTACAAGTGTATGCACATACATTTGATTTTTAAAAATACTCTTATACCCTGCAACTTTGCTGCACTCATTTATTAGTTCCAATGATTTTTTTAGAAAATCTTTAGAATTTTCCATATAAAAGATCATATCATTTGTAAGTTAGGGTGATCTTTCTTAGTGAAAAGCATCTAGTTTTTCTTCATTAGGTATCATGTTAACTGTGGGTTTTCTCTAGATACCTTCTATCAAGTAAAGGAAATTCTCTTCTGTTTTTAGGTTGTTGATTTTTATTGTTTGTTTTGTTTGGTTTTTGGTTTTTTGAGGCAGAGTCACTATGTAGGTCAGGCTGGCCTCAAACTTATTATGTAGACTAGGCTGGCCAAACTTACATTGAGCCTCGTGCCTCAGCCAGGAGAGTGCTCAGGTAACAGGCATGCGTCACCACAGTCAGCTAGATGTGTTTTTTTTTTTTTTTTTTTTTTTTTTTTTTTTATCATGAAAAGGACTAACTTTTCATTTTTAGGATAAAGGCATCTCACTTGAAATTACTTTTTTTTTAAGTGATAAGACTGAAACAAGGATGTTGTACATGCTAAGCACACATTTTACCATTGAGCTACACCTCCAGTCCCTGTGTGATTTTTTTTTTTTTTTTTTTTTTTTTTTAATACATTGGCAGGTTTGCTCATGTCTGGTGGGGAACTTTTGTGTTTATATCATAAGGGATATTGTTCTATAGTTTTCCACTATTTTTGTATGGTTTTGTATGGTATTAGAATAATACTAGTCTTACAGAATGAGTTGTGTTTTTTCCTTTTGGAGTTTATGTTAATTGATAGTAATTATTTAACTGCTGATAGAGTTCACCAGTAAAATCATTCAGGCTACTGCTTTTCCATTTAGGATGCTTTAAAATTATTTCTATTTTCTTTATTTAATATGAGGTTATTTGTGTTTTTAATTCCTTCCTAAGTTCTTTCTAGTTTGTCTTTCTAGGAATTTTTTAATTTCATCTAAATTATTTACTTTGTTGATACATAAATTTATGTAGGATTACTTTATAATCCTTTTGTTTCAGTAGTTTCTAGCGCAGTTTCAGAATATTTGGGGGAAATGTTTTGGCCTTTCATCTTCTAAGAGTTCATACTGCTTTGGTTAATTGACCTTTCCTTATCTTCTATGGCTTTTATGCCTCTCAGCTCTTCTAAATACACCTTTGTTCTCCTTAAAGTGGGTTTGGAAGGAAGGATCAGTGCATAGATACAGGTTTGCACTGCAGTTTTATCATTCAGATTCAGTTTTCACACCCGTGATTTTTAAATTAACAACCATTTTTGTTTCTTCCTGTGGTTTTGACTGACTCAACCAAGTGATTTTAAAGATAGTCAAATTTTTCTTTCTAAACTGTTTAGATTTAACTCAAAATATGAAAATGTTTAAATATTTGTATTACTGATTTACATTCACTTGATTTAGTTTCAGAAGCCCTACAGGTGTCAACTCCTAGCCAATCTGCCAATACCACTAGTCCTGCTACGACTTCTTCCACCACAATGTGTGCAGCTAAGCAAGAACCTCACCACTCTACTTCTGCAGTAAACAGCCTGGAAAATATAAATGCTACAGAACCCCCAAAATCCATCAAGCTTGGTAGTCTTCCTTCAGACCAATTGGCAAAAGGACAGGACACTGTTGCCATAGAAGGTTTTACAGATGAGGAAAACACAGAAAGTGGAGGAGAAGGCCAATACAGAGAACGTGACGAATTTGTGATAAAGATAGAAGACATAGAGACTTTTAAGGTGATATAAATGTTTATAGTTAAAAAAGATCACAGTTGAGTTGGACTGTTTGTTTTAAGGCTCCCAACTTTATGAGTTTGAAGAAAATGATTACTTACATAATTTAAAAATAACAAGAGTAAAAGTATAACTGGATTTAATTTTTATAATTTCAAATTATAGAGCCCTGAATAGAATAATAAAAATAAAACCAGGTATGATAGCATACACCTGTAATCCCAGGGCTCAGGAGGTTGAGACAAAAAGATCGTCGAGAGTTTGAGGCTAGCCTGAACTACATAGCGTGACCCAGTTGGAAGGGAGGGAGGGCGAGGCTGATTGTTTTAGCTATGTTTAAAATAATACATCTTTGGGTTCTTGTTTGCTTGTTTTTGCTTTTGCCTTTGTGTGTGTGTGTGTGTGTGTGCAAGCGTCAGTGTGTTAAGAATGTGTGTGTTTAAATTTGGGCAAAGAGGAGTGGACATTAGGAAGCACAGTAGGCACTTTTAAATTATATATATGCCTTTCATTCACAGCTAATAACTGCTAATTTGCTGCATAGTGGTTTCTGGTCTTTTTTAGTACGTACATATTGTTATAAAATTGCATAAGTAAGATGTGATGATACCAGTAGCAAAGGACTTTTCAATAGTTTCAGCTATGCAAGTGGGTAATGGGCTTCCCTTCTGATAGTCTGTTTCTGGAAGAATCTAAGCAGAGACCAAATAACTGAACCTGTTTATAAGAACTATTGCTAAGGGCAAGAGGCTTGGCTGAGTGGTTGAGAGCTTGATTAGCATGTGGAAGCCTGGGTTTGATCCACAACGCTTCAAGGGGAAGAAAAGTTATTGTAGAAATTCAACTAAAGGTAAGAAGTAAAAATATGAGTTATGAATGTTTTTAAGATTCCTTTCAGATCTAAGGTACACTGTAAATCTAGAATGTGTTATTATCTACAAGTATAATTAATTTGTTAATTACAGGAGGCTTTAAAAACAGGATTAGAACCCCCAGCTATTTGGAAAGTACAGAAAGCTTTGTTACAGAAATTTGTTCCTGAAATTCGAGATGGGCAAAGAGAATTTGCAGCTACGAATAGTGTGAGTAAATGCTTGTTTGTTTATATTAGCCTTCCAATATATTAATGACGATCCGGGGGAAAATAAAGAATGATTTAGATGCGTTTTATATTACTTGTATTTGACATAAAATCACATAAAGTTTGAACTATGCAGTATATGATTCTCTGGTAATGATTTAAAGATAAATATAAAAATTATTTATGAATTCCCAGCCACTTAAAATTAAATGACTTTATATTTTTGCTTGACAATTTTTGAAAAACAGTCCTTTAGGCAGGTGTGGTAGTACATGCCTGTAATCCTAGTGCTCGAGAGGATGAGGCATGGGAATCATGGCAAGTTCAAGGCCATCCTGGGTTACATAGTGTATTCAAGGCCAACCTGAACTCCATATCAAGACCTTGTCTCAAAAAAACCAAACCCAAACAAAAGAGACTAGTGTTAGTCAGTCTGAAGATTTCACATAGGTTCAAAGGTTCTTGTATTGATTATTCTACCAGTCAGATATCCTGATTTAGCAGAAGACTGGCAGAAGTTGTATTTATATAACTGTTCTGTAGCTTTCAGTAAATGAGCATCTGCCAAATGAAATTGCTTCTGTGTAACTAGTATGGGCTGGCTCGCAGGCAGGAATGATTCAGGAGTCATTTTATTTACAGTGAACCCAGCCTGGCCAGAGCTGCATTTTGGAAAATGTAAAGGATGACTGATAGTCAAGCCAACAAAGTAATATTTGTGTGTAGTTTTTTACAACTGTGTGAGTTAGGTGTTTTTCTCATTAGTACCTAGGATATTTTGGAGATGCCAAGAACAAATACAAAAGGATATATGCAAAGTTCATTGAAAATGCAAACAAAAAGGAGTATGTCAGAGTTTGTTCCAAAAAGCCAAGAAATAAACCTTCACAAACTATCAGGTATTTGTTATGAAATATAATTATATATTTATTGGCTTATTTTTAGCACAGTCATCATACCAAGGATTATGTCAATTGAAGAGACATATTAGTTTTTGTATTATACATAATTCTGAAAAGTCAGTACCTGTTATAATAAATGATGCCTTTTAAAAGACTGTAAACGTCTTGACTTTGTGTGGTGGGATAGGTACCATTTTCTTTCCATGAGTCCTTTTGTTGCCATCATAGTATAACTTTAAAAAAAAAAAAAATTTAGAGTGAAAAGATAGAGTATAGTTCTTTGTGATAGAAAAAGACTTCTAAAAAATCCTTTTTTTCATTCATTTAATGAAAATAATAAAATAAGAAATAATGACTGACAAGTTTTATCGATAATTTTTGACAAAAAAGCTATGAGACGTGTATTAGTAGCAGTGTCTACAGAAGACTCATTATTATAGATTAGATTCTGTTGGCTGCAGTACAAAGCTGGGCGATAACCTGAAACTGTTGTGGGTGGGAGGGATGATGAGACTTAGATATTCTCATACATCTCAGCAGGTCTCATCTAATTAAGATTCCCTATTGGGGACCTATTAGAAGAGCTCATCTTAATTTATGTACTTAGATCTCTAGATCCACATGGAACAAATCTTTGGAGGCTCTTCTACAGATGCTGTGGGGTTTCTGCATTAAAACATAGTACCAGCAGAGCTTGTGGATTTCTGAAGGCCAGAACTAGAATTGGCTATCAAAAATTTATGAAGCATTATTTTCTTAAACCCATTGACCATCTGTTGTACAACTTTATACTCTGGGGAAAGAGTCTGTAAAGGGAGGGGAGGATGAAGTCCATGAAATAGGGATAGAGTTATTAGTCCCTTAACAGTATTGAATGCCAGTATTTAAAGAATATATATTTCAGGAAAATTTATGTATACATGTGTAAATGGATTTTATTTTGAAGTATTGATGAGGGTATTTAAGTAATCTTTTCTCTTGTCTCACTTTTTTTTCTAATTTATTTTTATAAGATTTAAATGTGTTTCAGGTAGCAATACTCATGCTTTGGATAAACCTCATTGACTACAATACTGACACTGCACAAAGCTTTAAACATGTTAATGAAACCTTGTTTGAAACATTACAGAACTGTTCAGCCCAAGCCAAGTACTAGCAGTAAAACTTCAGATCCTCCAACATCAAAAACTACAACTACAAAAGCCCCTTCCATGAAACCCAAAGTTAAACAGCTAAAAATAAAAGCTGAGCCACCACCAAAGAAACGGAAGAAATGGAAAGAAGAATTTTCATCATCCCAGTCTGACTCATCTCCTGAGATTCATTCTAGTAGTACTGAAGATGAGGGTGAGTTTTCATGAAATGGGTGGGTCTGCATGAATAGGCAGGAGTGACTGATGCTGACTGCAAATTTTATATATTTGTTCAGGGGATTTATCTACCTAATAAGTTCCGCTTGTGCTTACATGACAATAACATACTGAAGAATCGTTTGCACATGCATGCAGTGAAATAGAAAAGGCAGAATTTAGCTTTGTTAGTTCTAAACTTATGAGTGTTGGTTTATGCCAGAAGAAAAGAATAAACCTAGGAAACAGCAGTTAAAATTGTCATTAGTACAGTATAGTAATATATAGTACTGTATATGTCTGGTATATATAAGATGCATACTACTGTATGTCTGCCTCCACCCTGCATGCCCTCATGACCATGATAGATACCCTCTTTTGTCTGCCTTTTCTTCTTTTTGAAATGGGAAAGTTGAAATGACATAGATCAGCAGTTACCTAACTTTTTGACCTTAGAACCCCTTTCCACCCTTGCAAACTGTTGTAGATCCTAAACAACACTTAATGTAGGTGATAACTGTTGGTACTTATACCATATGAGATGCTGAACTAAGGTAATGAAGGATGTAAGAATCCACAACACACATCCCACTAGCCATCAAAGCTGGTGTTGATCTATGCAAAAATTTCAAACAATTTAGTAACAGGACAGAGTTTGGCAAACTGTGGTCTGCCAGACCTGGCCTTCAACCTTTTTTTGTAAATATGGGCATTCTCTGCTTAACCACTAGGTTGTTAAGTGAATTGGTCTTTAAGTAAGGTATTGTAGATAAGATGTACATTACCATATTCAGAACAAAGAAATGGTCCAAGGAAACTCCAACTTGACTTTGCTTTTATTTGCATAAGTCTTACATACAGTACTTTAATGTAACAAAATAAAATTATAGTACTGTGTAAACAAAGTGTACTGTACAAAAAAAAGGCAGTGAGGCTCCAGAAACCAGATGTATAGATCTGTACAAAAAAAGACTAAGTCCAAACAGCACATCTCAGTTGTAAGTCTGAACAATCATTAACAAGATGCTAACAAGGAATATCTGTAGTGTTATTGAAAGAAAAAAAGTTACCCACAGGTAACTTTTGAGAAATTGATGTATTTCTGCTCAGTGACCTTCCCCACTACAATGGCAGTTGGAGTAGTTGTTGCTAAGATCATATGACCCATCAAAGAGTAGTTTTTAGCATATATTGTATCTGAACCCAAGTAGGGGCACAAGGATGAGAAAAGAGGACAGATTTGAAAAGTTCTGTATCCAATCTTTATTGTATCTTGCACAATAAGTTGAGTTGTTGAGGTTGATGTCCAGGACAGTTTCCGAATTACAGTATTATTGCTTGAGAGATGATCTTAGAAATTATGTGACTAGAACTACAATCATAATAAAAAATGTTTCAGTGCTGAAGTCTACTTTAAATGTACTGTTGCTGTAGCTGGCCCTGGCAGCACAGCATTTGGGGCACTGAAGCAAGAGAATTGCCAGGAGATTAAGGCCAGCTTGAGCTACGTAACCAAACAGTATCTCAACAAAAGAAAAACAATATAATGTTTTCAGTATTTGCTCAAAATATTGGTTTGCCTTATAAATTCTCATATGTACACTTATAAATAACCATTTACAAACAGCTTTTTTTTTTTTTCTTTTTATCGGTACTGGGGATCGAACTCAGGACTGCCTGCTTGCAAGGCAGGCGCTTATGCCCCTGAGCTAAATCCCCAGCCCTACAAACAGCTTTTTATAATAGTACATTTCAGAATGGCCTTGGACTTATTATGTAGCCCAGCCTGGCCTTGAATTCAGAGAACTTCAGCCTTCCTAGTGCTGGGATTGCAAATGTGTGCTATCATGACCACTTATATGTAATTTTTGCAGTTAGCAGTCCTTCCTACTGCTTTGAATACAGAGGTTTTTTTTTGTTTTTGTTTTTGTTTTTGTTTTTCCTGAATTAGCAGTTACTCTGTTTCCTTGAGAAAGATAAAATTTTCTTCTATTGGTAACTTGAGTAACCACTAGGTGTCACTAAATAGTGAAGGAAGCATTTATGGTGGTTTAAAGAAGGCAGATGATTGCCCTATGTTGTGGGGCATATCTGTAATCCTGTCTCAGGAGGATCCCAAATTGAAGGCCAGGCTGGGCAACTCAATGAGACCCTGTCTCAGAATAAAATAAGATAAGCTGAGGATGTGACTTTGCAGTAGAGAACTTCCCTGGCTTGTGCCAAGATTTTTTTTTTTAATTTTATTTAAGGAGGAAAAAAAAAAACCACAAAAAGGATACAATTTATGCAGAATTTCAGAAAAAATAAACAGTAGGAAATCACTAGTGAATAGATTACATATTGTCATCTTAGAAATAGTTGTTCAAGTTACAAAATTAAAGCATATAAAGTGGACATTCAAACAGTGAGACTGCAAACAGTTCTGTTCAGTGATCCAACAAAACTCAGTAATATGGTTATCTAAGTTATACACTTAAATACACATGCAGTTATACCCTTTAGAACACTTTCTTTTCCTCTCTATTGTGCCAAGATCTTAGGTTTGATTTCCAGCACTGATAAAAAGGTGAATATTGATACTATTTATTGATATAAATAATAGATTTATATGCTGGCAATTTTCAAACTGTTTTAGGGACTCTTTATAATCTTCCAATTTGTCCAAATGTTTTTGTTGATGTAGATTAATTCTGTCAGTATTTATTAAGTTAGAAATTAAAATTTTCAAATATTTAAAATTAACTGATTTCTACTTATTAGTATAAAAATGCTAGGTATAACTTTCTAAAAACTAATAATATTTATTGAGATAAATACTATTTTGCTTTTATTTTTTTCTGAGAAGAAGTCTTGCTATGTGGTACAGCCTATCCTCAAACTCATGGCAATCCCCCTGCCTCAGCCTCTTGAGTGCTGGGATGATAGGCGTGTGCCAACATGCCCAGCTTGAGATAAATATTATTTTTATATCTGCTTCATCATTTAGTTTGTTATGTGTTATTTTGGTTAAAATAAATGAACACTCACCATCACATGGGTGTATGGATAGGGGAGGGAAAGAATATTTTAGTTGCCTATTCTGATTATGAATATTTTTATTTGAATTCAAAACTTGACAACTGATAGTTTCTTGAAAATTCCATACAGGTACATTAAAATGTGTTGTTTGCCTTGCCTTGTTGTATGGATCTTTTATCCATACATCATTCATTGTTCATATGAAAATAGTTATCTCAGTGGCATAGCTCTTCCAAAAAGTAGTATGTTTCTATCACCTTTTAAAAGTTATGGCCAGGAGCTGGGCATTGCGGCTCACGCCTGTAATCCCAGCACTCAGGAGGCTGAGGCAGGAGAATCATTGCTGAGTTTGAGATGAGCCTAGGCTACAAGGTGAGCTCAAGGTGAGCCCAAAAAGTTTTATGACCAGGAATATAACTCAGTGGCACAAGCACCTACCTGGCAAGCACAAGATCATGAGATGGATTCCTGGTACCAAAAAAAAAGTTACGGTCATGCTAGGTGTGGTGGCGCATACCTACAATCCCAGCGCTCAAAACACCAAGGCAAAGAATACAGGCTCAAAGCTAGTCTGAGCTATACAGTGAGCTCAAGGCTTGCCTGTACTACAAAGTAAGACCCTGTCTCTAAAAATACCAAAACAGTTATGGTCAAACATGTATGACACATAAAGTTTGCCATTTTAAAACCATCTTCAAGTGAAAGTATACAATTCAGTACTCTTAATTACATTCACACTATTTTATAATATCACCACCCCTTTTCAAGTTTATCTTCCCAAACAGATATTCTGTAACAGCTAAGCAGTAACTCTTCATTCTTCTGATTGCTGCTGGTAACCTACAATCTTATTTTTTTATGTCTATGAATTTGCCCATACATGTAGGTTATACACTGATTGACCCTGTGTATCTGGCTTCTTTACCTTATCATAGCATATCCCGGATTCATTCATGTTGTGGAATGTATCAGAACCCCATCTTTTTTATGGCCAAATAACACGTTATTGTATATTTGTTTATACTCATTTTGTCTGTCCGTTCATCTGTTCATTGACACTTAGGTTGTTGTAAAAGTATTACAAATAATTTGTTGGAGTGAACAAATATACAAGTATCTTGAGTTCCCTTTTTCAATTCTCTGAGTATATACTTGAGAGGTGACTTGCTGAATCATATAGGAATTCAATGTCAAGCTTTTTTCTTTCTTTTTTTTTTTTTTTTGTCTTTTTCGATTCTTTCTGTACCAGGGATCGAACTCATGACTGCCTGCTTGCAAAGCAGGCACTTATGCCACTGAGCTAAATCCCCAGCCTAATGTCAAGCTTTTTGAGGAACCACCAAATTGTTTTCCACAGTGGTTATATCATTTTACATCCCTGCCAAGGTTTTTCCACAGCCTAGCATATATGCATACATATATACAGCCATATTTATATTTATAGATACACACAGACATCCTAAAAAGTATGGTATCACATTGTAGTTTTACTTTGCATTTCCCTAATGACTTTAATTTGGGCATTTTTCCAGGTGTTTATCAGGTATTTGTATATTCTTTGAAGGGTAGACTATTGGTCCTTTTTTGTTTAGTTGTAGAACTTCTTACATATTCTAGATTTTAAACTAATAAGATATGATTTGAAAATATTTCCTTCCATTCTGTAATCTTAGTTTATCTGTTTTTCTTTTGTTTCTTATGCTTTTAATGTCGTTACTAGACTCTACTGTCAAATCTAAGGTAATGAAGATTTATCCCTATATTCTAAAAGTTTTATGGCTTTAGGTCTTTATATTTAAAATATATATTTCATTAATTCCACCACTAATCTCATCAGAAATCTTTTGTCCAGCTTACAACAGAGGTTACAGGTTTTAGGAATACCAATTTTTATTTGGAATACCAGCTTTTATCATTGGCAATAAGTATTGTTGATTGTATTTTCTGAAATGACAGATTCATTTCATTACTTGTAAATAAAATTTCTGCCAAATATTCATGTCCAAATAGGCATAATATCCATCTTTCTTTCAAATACAGAAGGTATTTTAGGGAGAAAAAAGTTTCTCTCATAACTCAGGTAATGGCATATGCCCTCTGCATGGTGGTAATCATAATTCTTGTATTAGAAGTATTTTCTGGACCAGGAGTGGTAGCACACCTGTAATTCCAGGACTTGGTAGGCTGAGGCAGGAGAGTTGCCATGAATTCTAGGCCAGCCTGGGCTGCATAGTGAGTTCATGACCAGCCTGAACTACATTGTGAGACCCAGTCTCAAAAAAAAAAAAAAAAAAAAAAAAAAAAAACCCACCAAACCAAAAAAGAAGCATTTTCCTCCTATGTACCATATAGAATGTTAAAAACACATTGACATGTACAAATTTAATGAAAACAGTAATTTTGTTTTGTTTGAGACACAGTCTGGCCGTGTAGCTCAGGATGGACTAAACTCAGCTGTCCTCCTGCCTTAGTGCAGGGATTACAGATGTGCACCACCATGCCCCTCTTGAAAACAACAATTTTTGCTGTTGGGTCAAAAAGTATTCTACAGGGCTGGGGATTTAACTCAATGGCATAAGTACCTGCCTTGCAAGCAGGCGGTCGTGAGTTCGATCCTTGGTACTGATTAAAAAAAAAACAAGAAGTATTCTAAAGTGAAACTAGCTTCTTTTCCCTCCACAAATGTATGAGCAGTGACCTGACAAAGTATATAACTACTAGTATAGTTTGCTGTGACTGCCTTTATTCATGCTGAGTAGAGAAATAGCAGTTTTACCTGTTACTACTTTTACAAATATCAACACAGTGAAAAAGTTAAATATCTCAATATTATTATGAAAATGGTCTTGTCCTCAGAGACTGAGAGGGTCTCATAGACTATACTCTTATTACTGCCTATAAAGACCCTGATAATATTATAGTTATACGTTTGGATGCAAACAGAATAAGTCAAAAGGGAGGCAGAGTTTTAATCTTGCACTGAATTTAAGTGAAATTTCCTCTATGCATAGTCTGTTTACATTAAAAAAATTTTAATGTTTCTTAGTATGGAATTCTATAATAATTGAAGTACAGAAGTTAAAAAAGAAATGGTATCTATATCTTAACTCATAATTGCGTCTTATAGATCCCTTACTAATAAAAATACAGAAGCCAACCATGAAGACTAGAGCAAGATGGGGAATACAGCTCAGTGCACAGCACCAGCCTGGCAAGTTGCACCATCATCAGTTTGATTCTCAGTACCCCCCCCCCCAAAAAAAAAAAGACTAGAGCAGCAGAATGTGTATCCAGTGTTCATTTGTGGGGTGAGCCAGGCTGGGAGAAAAACTGGTTCTTCTCTGACCTTGTTTCTACACATTGGCTTGGTGTCAATCAGTAGAGCCTGGGAAGCCTTGGAACACACAGTGTATAAGCTTCGTCATGCCATCACCCTACCACCACTACCCATTTTGTACTAATAAGTCTGGTGGTCTATTTTTGTTGTTCTGTTTTAAAACTCTCCAAATCCAGTGTGGTGGTGCATGCCTGTAATTCTCAGCACTCAGGAGGCTGAGAAGTATTTTTAAGTTCTCAGTAAACAAAACTTAATATTTTATCTTTTCTTTGTCCCAGAATTTGAGCCGCCAGCTCCTTTTGTCACTCGCTTTTTGAACACAAGAGCAATGAAGGAAACCTTTAAGAGTTACATGGAACTGCTTGTTAGCATTGCCCTGGACCCTGACACAATGCAAGCCCTAGAGAAGAGCAATGGTATGGCATTCTGTCTGTTTTCAAAATTCTATCTGTTGTGGTTTTGCATGTAGTTTGTATAATATATACCTATAATTTCTCAGTCATATTCTTAATATCGGAATGCTAGAAAATGATCACATCTTTTTATGCATTGTTTTAATAGCAGAACAACTTTATAGTGATTATATTTTTATTGCTTCCTACTCATAGGATAATTATGTAATTATTTGTGTCTTTTAATTCCAAAATCTGTATCATCTTCACTAGTATTTTACTAAATGCATTTCATAGAAAGTCCATGTGTTGTTTTTTGTTGTCATTTTTTTTGTTTGGTTAGGTTATTTTGTTCATTTATTTATTTATTTGTTTGTTTGGTCTTTTTGAGACAGGCTCTCACTGTGCAGTTCAGGCTGGCCTTGAGTTCAGTTTGTAGACCAGTCTGGTCTCGATCTTGCCATGATCCTCCCCACTCAGCCTTCCGGGTGCTGGGATTACAGACATGGGCCACCACATGCGGCTAGAAGTCCGTGTGTTAATATATATCCTGTTTTCCCATAATTGGGAAGATAGGCCAGATAATAGTGATATAAAAATTAATATATTTTGTAAAACAGAATCTTCAGTAAAAGATAAATTACAGGCCGGGGATTTAGCTCAGTGGTGTAAGCGCCTGCCTGGGAAGCACAAGGTCCTGAGTTTGATCCCTGGTTAAAAAAAAAAAAAAAGATAAATTACAGTGTTTTTGAGATAAGGTCTTTGTAGTTCATGGCCTTGAACTCATAGCAGTTCTTCTGGTTCTTCTCAACACTGCTGGAATTACATGTGTGCATTACTATATCTGATTAGAGAACAGTTTTTGGATTTTGTTTTCTTGTTTCTTGTTTAGTTATAGTATTGGGGATTGAATTCATGACATTCTCATGAGCTACATTTCTAGCCCCTGTTAAAAATTTGACACAAGGTTTCAGTGATTCTGTGTTGCCCAAACTGGGCTTGTATTTGGCAGTTGTCCTGCCTCAGACACCCAGAGTGCTGGAATTACAAGCAGGTGCCACCAGAACCAGTTGAGAAATTATTTTCTAGTCTTTATCTAATCATTTCTAATTATCTAATCTAATCATTTCTAATTAAAACAATGTATGGGCAAGAGTGACAGTGCATACGGGTAATCCCAGCACTCAGGAAGCTGAGGCAGGAGGATTGTTGTAAGTTTAAGGCTAACCTGGGCTACATAGTGAGTTTAAGACCACCCTGAACACAAAAAAAATAATCAAAAAACTATAAAACAATATAGGGTGCCAAGGGTATAGCTCAGTTGTAGAACACTTGCCTAGCACGTGTAAGGCTGTAAGGCCTTGAATTTGATCCCTAGCACAAGGTGATGTGATAGGATGATGTGTGTGGAATTAGAAGAAAAAAAGAAAAGAAAAACAGTGTGCATTGGATTATACCAGTTAATTTTTTTTTTGAGTTTTTGCTATCAAATATTTTCTTTCTCAACTTGCTTGCATCATAAACTACGTCTCTTCCTTCTAGCCACTTCTGGTTAATTGTATTCTGAAAAATAATTTTTTAAAATCACTTAGCAGTGTTCTCTGATTTTTCATTTTATATAAGAGTCTTAAAAATTATTCACAAATGTCGAACATGTGTTTGTGAGGAGCGAGGGTGTGGTCAGTGGCAGAGCATTTGTCCCTAGGCTCCATCACCAGCACCACAAAACCAGCTTGTTTTTGTGAAATGTGAATGAAGTATTTGAATACATTTAATCACTACTGGACAAATAAACTGTCAGGTATGTTGCAGCAACCATAGAAAGCTTTCTTACTGAGAATTTTTTATTTAAGGAAGATATTCTTTTCCAGGTTATTATGTTTGTATTTGTTCAAAATATGTAAAATTTTATTCAGTTGTGAACTTTATAACCTAGATTCTGAGAATTATTATTTTTAGGAAAGTCGTATACTACCGTGCTGCTAAGTGAAATAGTTGAAGAGCACGTCCCTAGCATGCCTGAGGCCTTGGGTTGAATTGCAGAGGAAAAAAAACAAGAGTATCTCTTGGGCATCCTCAATGCCTTATAAAAATGTTACAGTCAGAATAGTTTATATTTTATAATACTGTAACTATTCAGATGGCAAATGAGATTTGGAGGTACATTGCTGCCCTATATTGGTCCTAGTGCCATTGAAATCTACTTCAAGAGCTCAGGGATAACATGTTTGCCCAGCATGCAAGAGGCCCTAGGTTCAACACTTGTAAATACTATCAGAACAAAACAAAATCAGATTCTAAGGGCCAGGAATATAGCTCAGCAGCACAAGCGCCTGCCTGGCAAGCACAAGGTCACAAGTTTGATCCCTGCTTGTAAGGCAGGTGCTTATGCCGCTGAGCTAAATCCCCAGCCCCCATAAGCTTATTTTTTAAGTTAGCCTTTTTCAGAAAGCTTCATGTCCATTTCTTGGCAGGCAGAATTTTACATTATCCAATGAATTTAGTAGTTTTGAACATAAAAATGTTTTGAGAAAAAGTTGAATTTTGAACAAATATTTGTTGGTAATTTATCCTTTTAAAATATATTTCAGATGAACTACTTCTACCTCATATGAAAAAAATAGATAGCATGCTTAATGATAATCGAAAAAGACTTCTTTTGAATCTTCATTTGGATCAGCCATTCAAGGTATTTTCTTTAGATGACTTATCAGCAAAACTGAGTCATGATCACAGTTCTAAATGTGATGAAAAAACTACGAAAGTCAAGTCATTCTCACTTTCATAAAATTTTTCACAAACAAAAGTTATTGCTTGTGTGTGTGTGTGTCTTTTTGAGACAGGGTCTCGCTCTAAAGTTCAGGTTGACCTTGAATTCATTTTGTAGCCCAGGCTGGCCCTGAACTTGCAGTAATCCTCCTGCCTCTGCCTCCCAAGTGCTGGGATTACAGTTGTGCACTACCACCCCCAGCCAGTTTATTTTTTTAATGTTAATCATTCACTGTTTAAATTTATTTCTGAGTCATTTATATGTTTATGATATTCATTATATAAAATTTTGTCTAAATGTTTTCCAAAAGTACTTGCTTTAAGCTGTGATATTCAATTATTTTTAAAAATAAAAATAAAAAATTAGCTTTCCTCATGTAGTGCAGGCTGACTTTGACCTCACTATGTAGCCCAGCCTGGGTTCAAACTTGTGGTGATCCTTCTGCTTCAACCTATATCATGTTTTTCATTTGAAGCTTTGTAAAAAGTTATATGTTTTGTCAATAATTAAAATTAGCCTTTCAGGCTGGGCGTGGTGGCTCACGCCTGTAATCCCAGCACCTGGGAGGCTGAGGTGGGAGGATCATTTTGAGTTCAAGACCAGCCTGGGCTACAAAGTGAGCTCAAGGCCAGCCTGACCTGCATAGTGAGACCCTGTCTCAGAAAGACAAAAAGGAAAAAAAAATTAGCCTTTCATAGCAGTTACCAAAATTCTCTTTATGTGTCTTTAATTTACTCATTACCAAAGAAAACCTAATTTTTATATAAAGGAAATTTCACATTTATGTTATTTTATCTTAGCAATAAAAATTGAGTTTTGGGAGGTGGGGATTTAGCTCAGTGGCATAAGTACCTGCCTTGCAAGCAGGGGGTCGTGAGTTCAATCCCTGGTACCGATAAAAATGAAAAAGACAAAAAAGAATTGGGTTTTGGTGTTATCGGAAACAAAACCTAACCTAAATTCAAAATTTATCATGGATGCTATTTAGTAAAAAAAAATTTAAATTTTCTTATTCAAAGTATATAATATCACATCTAAAATCATTTGATTATATCTGCCTTGAAAAACTATTGGTAGAGACAATGATATACAGGCTTTCTCACATTTCTGTTTTGTAAACTGCATATGGAGGTGATACTAACTTTAGGTGAAAATCAAAGTTCTAGAATTGAGTTCAAAGTTAAATGACAATAAACGACACTAGTAGTCCTATGTTCTTCACTACCTTAAACTTGTAGACCTGGTAAGAAACCCAGTACCAAAGAATTTGATCTGCGATCTCATAATCCAGTGATTTCTACTTAATGTCTACCTTTAAATGAAATATTCTTTAACAAAGTATGGTTTTATCTGTGGAAACAACGAAATTTTTTCAATAAGTATTTTCTGAAGATTTACTAAATATTAAAAAATTCCTCAGTTTCGATGGTATATAGCTCAGTGGCGAAGCCCAGAGTTCAACCCCCAGCACAGCACCAAAATATTTACCAGCTTTGTTAGATCATTTTAAAAATATCAAACCTGTTATCTAATAATTTATGTTAAAATCAGTAGTTTGAATTTAATATAATCATTAGATATTTAAAGCTTGTGCAATAGTTTATGGTGAACAATTGAAAAATTAATGTTCTTGCTTTCACAGAAAACACAAGATTTGTAATTTTGTAAAGTTATTAATTTTGATGAGTTTCACCTAATTTGCATGTGAAAACCAAATTATACAGTATTAAAAGTTCGAATGATTTGAAGTAAAATATTACAAATAAAAAAGATACTCTTTTTCTTACAAATATTAGCACTATTTCCCCTAATGATCATGGTGACTTTAGGAGTAAATCTTGAAGTCTTCTGAAGTTAATGATACTTGTTTCTCCCAGAAATTCACATCATTCATATTAGCTTCAGCATCTTGTGCTTCCTACAAAGATTTAAATTTTCTCCCAGCTCTACTCATCTAGGGCCTTTGGTTTCCAAATTTAGAATCCAATTTTAGTCTTTAAATTCCATTTGTTATAATTATTTATTTTGGCTCCAAAATTATTCAAGCATTATGTGTTTTAAAAACAGCACTAACTGGGCATAGTGGTGCCCACCTGTAATCCCAGCACTTGGGAGGCTGAGGCAGGGGGATCACTACAGGTTTGAGGCTAGCCTGGGCTATATGTAGTGATCGGAAAGCCAGCCTGAACATAGAGAGAGACCTTTGTCTCAAAAAAATAAAAACAATAAAAGCAGAGCACCAAAGTACATAATAAAAGAATTTCAGCAAAGAACAAAGCTAGAAATTAGAGCAGACTCTGGTAGGAAGTACTAAAACATTTTACTGTATGAGAAATGATACTTAGTTCCCTATTAAACTTGCACCTAAGAAAAATTCAGATTACCTGTTTTAAAAATGGACTGTTTTGAGGGCTAAAGGATTATCACTTGGGAACTGTGAGTGTGAAAAAACTAGCCTTTGAGCTTATCAAATGAAGACTACTCTGAATCATAAATATATGGGAGTACTTAAACATTTTAGTGTCAAAATAATACATGATCCTGGTGACTCAATCAAGTTTTATGGAACTATAATCAAACTAGTTAGATTAAGCTATAAGTATCATTTGGTTATTTTGTTGTAGCTTTCCATGTCAGAATGATTCATCAAGTAGGTAAGGGCATAAACATCCCAGTGACTTTTTATAATTAGTATTGTCACATAATCACAAAATTGTCAGTGGGGGCTACTGTGTCTTTCTGGTCGGAAAATTCATCAAATTCCATTTTAGGATATTATGTCGTAAGTGCTCTTTGCATGGTCAAATGAAACAAGAGCAGTGATGAAGCAGAAGCGTCACAGTGTTTTTCTTAGCCTCTGTGCTCATCTTCATCTAAGATGAGATGGTTTCGTTATAGTGGGACTTAGTTGAGTATTAACGGTGGTATCACTAGTAGGGGACTGAAGAAACATACATACGTCCCATTCTACTCTGCCTTTAAGGCAGAGAGGCATTATTAAGAACCATGGCATTCTTCAGGAGTCCCTACAGTGTAGTGCTGTTGCTTAAAGCAGCAGGTGGCTCAGATTCCAGGGGGAATAGATTCCACATACAATGGGAGGAGGTGAAAAGAATCTGTGGCCGTGTCTAATCTCTACTCATATGTATGTATATATGTGTATATTTAGCATGTCCCATCAGTAACGAGCCACCTGCAGTGTGTGCATGTGTATATATGTAAATTTTGAATAGCTGAAAACAGTTTAGTGTCCTGATACTTGTTATTATGCTTCATTGTTTCAAAGAATGCTTTGGAAAGTTTTCCTGAATTAACGGTAATTACTCGAGAGTCTAAAGCAAAAAGTGGAGGATCTGCTATTTCTAAAATCAAAATGAATGGCAAAGCTTATAATAAGAAAACTCTGAGGACTTCTAAAACAACCACTAAGTCTGCACAGGTAAGTATATAGTGATTGATGAAAGTGTACCTTTCTAGTTGTTGATACTAAAACATCAAAGCAAGCAGATATTTTACTATTTGTTATTAAGTTCAGAGTGTATTGGGTCAGGAGCAGGCAACTCTGGTCTGAGGAACGGCGTCTCAGTGTCATTTGTTGTTTCTCTCCAGTGCTTAACACAGTATCCAGCGTATAGTAAGTGCTCACAGATTTTTTTAAAATATACTAATAAAGAATCATCCCATGTTTGTGTTTATGTCCTTATATGTTTTTAATTTAATTGATGAAAACATACATTTATCATATACTACATGTTTTAAATTATGTGTACATTATGGAATAAGTGACTTAATTAATAAGCATTACCTGTTTAGTAAGCACACCCCCATAGAGTCAATATTGATTCTGTATCTTCTCTGTTATCATTGAACTATCTTCCAACACTTTGCAATGTAGTATAAATTGTTTACTACCATTTCAGAAAGCAATTTGATAGTGTAATAATTGCACATCAAAATGTATTCTGTAAAAACACATCAGAAATGGGTATCTTTGGCCATTGCAAATTTGTGTGTAAGAGCCACCAATGTGAGGTTAAAGAGCCACAAAGACAATGTAATGGCTACGCTGTTGACCAAACCTGGTACTTCATGCGTGCTAAGCAAGTGCTCTACCACTGAATGAATCACATCCCCTACACTGTTTACTTTTTAAATCAAAGAGGCAAGACTGGATATGTAGCTCAGTAGAGCTCTTGCCTAGTATGTGTAAGGCTCTACATTGATCCCCAGCACCACAAAAAGAAGAGATAGATTCATGTATTCTTTTCAAAATAAAAATCAGGGAGGGTGCTTTAAGAGTACCAAATGCAGGTCTTAGTACTACAGGGTACAACACTGGAAACTTAACTAGCTCTCCTATAATTTGTATACGTAGTACTTGGGGGAAAGCATGAAATAAGGTATAACATGCTATTTGCCCTTTTTGGTGGTACTGGGGATTGAACTTAGGGCCTCCTCACTGAGTTGCCTAGACTGGGCTCAAACTTGAGATCCTCCTGCCTTAGCTTCTTTTTTTTTTTTTTCTATACAATTTCTTTAGTGATTACCTTAGCTTCTTGGAGTGCTAGGATTACAGGTATGTACCACCACATCTAGCCAGCCTCATTTATTTGTAAAGCAAAAGATTATATATAGAAAGCCTTTACAAGTTATCTCATTTTTCATTTAAATTTTTCTGTAATGTTAACTTTTTTTCATATGATACCTATTTATATTTAGGGAAAAAAATAAAGATTTTTAAATATAATCTAAACCCATATTATGAGTAAGTGTGTTTGCACTTTAATTCAACCTAATACCTAGCCATGACAGTCATTTTCAGGATTGCTGTCAGACTTTTGATCTAGTATTTTCCCAAAAGTATTCTTAGTTCAGATGTTCCATGAACCTTTTTCTCTTCCTAGGAGTTTGCTGTTGATCCAGAGAAAATACAACTGTATTCTTTGTACCATTCACTCCATCATTATAAATATCATGTTTACCTGATATGTAAAGATGAGGTAATTTTCTCTTTAATGAAAAAAGGAATTATGTTTTGTAAAACTTTAAGGAAACTTTGGTTTGTTATAAAATGTTAAATGTATGTATGTACATATAAGTGTATATATATGGGGGCTTGGGGTTTTTAGTGTGTTTCCTGTATTGTAAGTAATGACCAAATATATTGTTCTGAGTTGCTGTGCTGTTTTGTGCTGAGGTTCTTTAGTGCCCCACTACCTCTTGAGCTGTAAACGGTAGTGTTTTTAAGATGCTAGGTGTTTGCTTTATATTGCCATAGTACATGGTGCTTTATGGCATTTTATTCTCTTACAGAATGATCTTGCTTTAATTCAATTCATTTATGACTTTGATACCTTGCTTGTCTTATCACTGAATAACCTTATCCTGCTTCGTTACACGGAATTTGGATTTTGTACCTTGGGATAAAGAATTTAATTAGAATTTTAAGTATCATAAATTTCAAGTTTCTCAGTAACTATATATGGAAACAGTACTACCTTGTGGATGGGGTGTAAGGCTTAATTTCCTAAAAATAAATAGTTATAGACAGTACTATCATATTTAACCAGGTCTGTCAGATTTTTAATTACAAGAGGTTAAGATGGCTCAAGATGAAACATGATGTGTTACAAAGTAGTTGGATTTGAAAAAGTATTCTTAAATCTCACTTCTATCAAAAGAAAAAGCAAAGATGATGCAAAATATGGTGACTATTCTTACAGTCTTCTGAAAACAGAATTAACCCTGATATTCCTCATATGACTTTTAACACAATTGGAAGGACTTTGAGAAAGTATGAAGTACCTTTTCTAGTCTTTATGTCTACCACTGTGGAGCCAATGATAGTAGGATTAGATCTCACCCAAATGTGTCTGAAATAATCATTCCACATGAGTGGGGGGAAAATCAGATATAGAGGTGAATTGATAAATCTTTTCATTCAAGATACAGAAAAGATAAAGTCTTGTGAAGGACTTAAGTGTAAAGTATAAGCTAATGTGATAATTTTTTTATTTTAGATTTCTTCTGTGCAGAAAAAAAATGAAGACTTAGGACAAGAGGAAATTGTTCAACTTTGTATGAAAAATGTAAAATGGGTGGAGGACCTATTTGAAAAATTTGGAGAACTTTTAAATCATGTACAGCAGAAATGTTCCTAACATTTCCACACAAATTGCATCTTTTCTATAGCACTAATGAGATTGCAGAAGGGGTGGTCACAGATAATCAGTTGTCACATAGGTCTCCTGCAAATGTGTTCTTCCATTGTGGAACTTTTACCAGGACTTTTTTTTTTTTTTTTTTTTTTTTTTTTGAGACAGGGTCTTGCTATGCAGTTCAGGCTGGACTTGTAGCCCAAGCCGGTCTTGAATTTGCAAAGATCCTCCTGGCTCAGCCTCCCAAGTGCTGGAATTGTAGGAATGCGCCACCATACCCGGCTCTTACCAGGACCTTTGCTAAAGGGCAGAGATGCTGCCAAGGAAGTCAGTGCTCAGAAACAGACCTTCATCCCATGACATTTTTATCCTGAGGATAAAAATGAATTTTTATCCTGAGGAATGATCTTTCTACTTTGTAAACTATTGGGTAACTGAATTTTATTTTCAGAAATTTTTTTTTGGCAAAGGATGAAGCATGCACTAAATATAATTTTCCTTTATGACTAGAGAAATAACACCTAAATAACTTGATCATCAGACTCTGACTAAATACCAGAGTGAACTAGAAGTGGCGGAAAGCATATGTTTGTATTCCAGTGTAGCCACAAAATAGAAAACATTGTATATTGTGTAAACAGATCTGGTGTGCTGTGACATCTTGTATGAGAATATCATCAACTTTAAATATAAAATTCAGAAACTACATTCTGCTTAATGGACTCCTTTTGACATGTTCAGGAAACTGGATGTGGAATTGGTGCAATTCTGTGCTTTTTCTGTCAGATTATATTGTGATAAACAGTAATGTACTATTTTCCCTATCTCAAAGAAAAGTATTTTCATTTATCCTGTGTTTTACCTTTGGAAATTTTTCAATTGTACGTTTTATTTTACTAATAGTTGTATTTTTCACAAGGAAAATACTGTGGTGTTACAATTATGTTCTGTATCTGTACTACACTTCATTGTTTCAGTAAATCTATTTAGTTTTATGACATATTTCTATTGTGAATTCTATCTTGAGGAAACCATTAGCTTTGTTCATTCAAATTTGCTCCAGTGTTATCCAGAATGTACATTTAGTGCTAGAATTAGTTTAGCTTTATAAATGGGGCTGTGTTAGACACTGCAGCAATTTCCTAATTCATAGATTTTTTTTACCAAACTATCATTTGATTAATTCATTGAAGCAAAAATGTAAGTACATGATGCATTTGTGAAGAATGAAGTTAACAATTGGGTGATACGCAGTGTTACACACAACTTCCCTAACTCCTAGAACTGGAAGTGGTAGAGTTCTCCTTTTGGTGCCTTTTCAACCTTTATACATACTATTGTAGCTTTCTTGAGTTTGGTAGGTAGTGCGGTTCCAGTAGTTTAGCAGAGACAGTGAATGTATTAGGTTCAACATGACCTTGTATTTTATTTGTGTTTGCCAACAGGATGCCTTATTTGTTTGTGAAAAAAGATTCACTAGTTCACTCTAATATGTTCCCCTTTTTAGATTCTAAAAAAGTTAATCATCATACTTTCGTTTATTTTACCACCATTTAGTGCCTTAAGTCCTATCAAGAAAGCAGTGTTACTGCTCAGTGCCCAAATAAGATACACTCACCTGGATATTTCTGTTGCCTTGGTTTTGAGTTAACAGACCAAATTCTTAAAACTTCAGTGAACTGACAAAGAATTGAAGGTAACATATTACTTGATTTGAGAATAAAATATTGTAGCATTGGGTAAAACAGGATTTGAGTTGAGCTCACGTATTTATTTCTAACAGTCATCTTATTAAAAGCAATAATGCTTAATATTTGTACTTGTCATTAGACAAGGTACTCAGTAATGGAAGTTTTTCTAAAGGATTAAATGTTCCATTTTTGAAAGTTTTTAGAAAATTTTATTTTGAAAACAAAAGTAACCTATTAGATTGATTTTTTGCCTAACTCACATGAGAGATGCGGAGAATATAGCAGTAGGGGAATTATATCTCGAGAGGGGAGAGGAGGAGGAGGAAGCAGCCATATTTTTCTGATAGTATTGACTCTGGACAGAACTGGTTTCTTTCATTTCCAAAATACAGAGTGGGGAACTGTATCTCCTATGTTGCAGTGTTTCAAGTATACATTTTTATATTATCCCCCCAGCTTACTTTACTGAATCACTGATGGTTTAAAATAGTTTTGAAAGCCACCTTCCATTTAGGTAACATCTTGAAGTAGATGCATGAAATCAGTCACATTTTCTTCAAGAGTAAGCCCAATGGAAGACAAAGATGTGTCTTTTCAATCTCGTTTCCTATAGGAAATAATCCATTTGCTTCTGACTGACAGTTGTTCTCAGACTGTATACAGTTGTATCCATGTTAGTAACACAAGTGTTTCTGTAATATGGGAGGCCAAGTCCTATGATCACCTGCAAGATACCCTGCTGTTAGGGTTGTCACCATCTCTCATATGTTCTGTATAGCACAGGAAGATCAGCAACCTTGGGCCTTCAAGCAAAGTGGGACTATATTATGACAACCATACGTATGTCTTCTCTTTGTATGAAGTTAAATAAATAGCTAGCTGGTTAGCATTTCCATTCCTTGCCAGGGCGGTTGAAATGTATAATATAGAAGTGACTTTAGGTTGTAGATAGAATTAAAAGAGGTAAAGCGTATGTTGCTACAGCACAGGAAAATATTTTAAAGATTGGGTTTTTTTACCGTAGAGAAATCTGGAAATAATTTAATGTAAAAAGTAATTTTATGTTGGTGCTTATTAGTTCAGATGAGGGTTGGAGAATAGGTCCTGTATCATTTTCTTGATAACCCAGTTTCCACTTAATTGATCCTTTAATGAAATCATAAGTGCATAATGATTTATGAATTATCACAATAAGTTGAACTAGAAATTCCCCATTTTCTGTTGTATTATCAAATAGGAAACATTGGTAACATGGAAAAAAATCATTTTAAAATTATTTATAAAATTTTAGATTACCTTTAATGTTCTAAATTTAAATTTCTAAAACAAAAACATATAGGTAAACTCATGCATTAGTACTATTTTTCAAAGCTTCACATTTTTAAACTAATTTCCCTCTAAATACACATACTATATTTATTTTCTTTAAAGCAGCTGTATTGCAGCCTATGTCTCTGAAGACATACCCATAAAACCAATACAGCAGCACGGTTATTGAAGCAACTTCCCCAAAAGTTGCTTCAAATGTGTAAGTTGCTATTTTATTGTATCTGTAGAATGCAACTTTTGTTTTAAACTGTGTTTCCATGTGTTTCACAAAAGCCCTTCTCAGAGTGAAATATCCCAGAAAATCTGTGTCTGTGTCGGTTACACTTGACACACAACTACACAAATAAACTGTACACTATTGGTTGTACATTAACTTGCACACACAAGTTTTGGCATCTGTGTTCACAAATGCATGTCTTTGCAAATCACCTTTATTTATAAGTGACAATAATTGAAATTATGGATACAGAGAAACCATTTGTAGTCCAGAGTTTTCAATCGGTCCATAATACAATGTATGGAAATGTGAAAGACAATTTTGTATATTTGTTTGTTACTAACTCAGATCATTAAAATGAAAACAATTTTTTAAACAAGAAAATCAGAATGTTTGGGGTTTTATTTAACAGTTAAAAGCTGAGGTACTGTGTAAGCAAATCCATCACGTTTACATTTCTCTCAGAGGACATAGCATGGTAGAGATCAAGTTATTACACAATTGGTATCGGAAATCAGTACTTGATGAACTTCATAGTCTTTACTATCAGAACATTTTAGAGTTTGGTTTTTAAAAAATAATTTATGTTTTGAATTTTTATTGTAGGTTTTTTTTTCTTTTTCTTTTTTTCTTTCTATCCTTAAAATAAAATGGATTTGGAAAAAAAAAATTTAACAGCAAAGATTTGATTCCAGAGTTCAAAATCACTTTATGAACTCAAACTTTCATGTATACTTTTTCTAAAAACAGAAAAACCCTAATGTTTCATAGAAACTCTCAACATAAGATGAGACTGGGTTAATCATTACATGATAAAATAAATAATGACACGTGAGTATAAGGACTATTTGGATAAACTTACATTAAGCTTGCATCTATATCTCTGTAGTTGCCAAAGGGCTGTCAAAGACATGGGAGACCATCTTTGGTGAATAAACGGAAAAATCAAAATAGAAGGTTCTAACAAATCAATAGTTTTGCTCTTGGCCTCTAAAAGAAGTGTAATATTATGACAAAGATTGGCCTAGACAGCTATTTCCATTTTATTCTGTGAAGAGATGTAAAACTACTCAAGAGTAAATTTCTAAGAACCCTGAAATACACCTCTGTATGAACAGTCTAGTTTTTAAATGTTGGTTTAAAAACAGTACAGCACCCTCCCAACTGAAACATCTGGAGGCCAGAGAGCCTGCCTGCCAGCTTCTCTTTTTTTTAATTAATTAATTAATTAATTTGATTGGTTGGTTTGTTTTTGTACTATGGATTTAGCCATCACACTGAGCTACATGTTCAGCCGCCCAACCCTGCCATTTTTGAGACACTGTTTCTAAGTCTGGGTTCATTCTTTGACTCTCTTGCCCCAGCCTCCCAAAGTGCAGTCTCTTTTTATGGTATCTTTCTAATACCTATGATATTTCAAACGTGAACAAACTAGGATTAAAATACTCAGTAGCTATTTTCCCCAACTACTACAAAGCCTTAGAAACTGGGGCATTATATTTTAAGTGTTAAGTAGCATTTCACTATTCTTAGATTCAATTCACTGACAGGATAACAGATCAGACCATCTTTCACCTAGTATTTAGGCAGTGTGGTGAACATTTTGGAACTTTCCAACAGCCTACTACAGCATACATGCCATACATTTGTCACCACTGATCTAGAGTATATTATATTCAGAGCTCCAGAATAAGTTGAAACCATGTCTTCATTTATGTATTATATGCTGATACATTCTCCTTTTGTTGTTCTTACTGTGGTTTTTGTTTGCTTGTTTGTTTGGTACTGGAGATCAAACTCACAACCTTGCATTTGCCAGGCACGCGTATGTGCCACTGTGCTAAACCCCTGGCCCTCCCTAACATTCTGCCTTTTCTTTTATTATACAATACTTATTTCTGGTCAGTAGTACAGTTACTGAGGTAGAACTTTCAGGTTTAGGCTACAGTTCTAGAGAGAAAGTGAAGCCCCTCAATGCCTGACTAATCAGAACTTCTATCGGTATACATAATTGGTTATCAAAAGTGGAGAAAAACCGTATTTTTTCCTCCTTCAAGATACTTGTTTTGTTTTGTTTGTCTTTTTTAAGACTGGGTCTTGCTATGCAGTTCAGGCTGGCCTTGAGCTCACTCTGTAGCCCAGGTTGGTCTCGAACTCAAAACAATCCTCCCACCTCAGCCTCCCCAGTGCTGGGATTACAGGCGTGAGTCACCACCCCCGGCAAGATAGTTTTTAAAATATTAAAATAGTTACTGTAAGACAACCAGAGTCAAATTTGCTATTCATGCTAGGGATATAACTCAGCAGCACAGCACCTGCCTGGCAAGCTCAAGGTCATGAGTTTGACTCCCAGTACCAAAGGAAAAAAAAATTGCTGCTTGCTTTTACAACAAATTACCAACAAGATTCTGATCTAGGAATCAAAAACAAGCACTCTGAATTTAAAACTATGAAGCAGCCAGGTGTGACACACGCCTATAATTCCAGCACTCCATAGTCTTAAGCAAAAGGAGAGTTGTAAGTTCAAGACCATCCAGGACTACAAAATGAGCTGAAGGCCAGCCAGAACTGCATGGGGAGACCCTGCCTCAAAAAAGACCAATAATAATAAAGCAAGTTAAACACAGTTCTCAAAAACTAATACTGAAGAATTTCCAAATAAGGCTGAGGATTTAGCTCAGTGGCATAAGCACCTGTCCGGCAGGCATCAGGTCATGAGTTTGATCCCTGGTACCAAAAAAAAAGAATTATCCAAATAACAAATAAGCTCCTGTTCAGTTACTACCACATTGCTTGTTTCAGAGCAGAAGTACTACACATTTATGGTGTTTGTTTATTTACAAACATACCTACTGCGCTACATGCATTGAAGAGTTTGATCCATTTCCAAAGAGACTGCACTTCCTAAAACATTCTTCACAGCTGTTAAGTGGGTGAATTAAAACAGCGTTATTTCTTACACAGTTTTGGTATAAAGAAAGGTGCAGGAGATCCAGATCTGAAGTACAAGGTCAGCATAACCACTTACCTTCCACTGAAAATGGCAAGTTCTCCCCAGGACACTCCTCCCAGTGCCTCTGACCACAGAACTGAAGCTCTAGCTGTTCTGTCCCAAGGATGGGCTCTTGGAAGCCTTATGAAAAGCACAGCCATGCAAAATTCTCTTGTTCTTTCAACCTTGCTCTCTCCTGTCAAGGTTTTAAGATAGAAAAATTGTCAAATCCTTTTAATTATAACATTCCAGCTGGGAGCCAGATGTGGTGGCACATGCCTATAATCTCAGCATTTGGGTGGCTGAGGCAGGAAGATCACCTCGAGTTGGAGGACAGCCTTGGCTACATACCTTTTTTTTTAATACCAGGAATCAAACTCTCAGCCTCATGCTTGCCGGGCAGGCATTGTGCTGCTGAGCTACATCCCCGGCTTAGCTGTATAGTTAATCAGGACCAGCCTGAACTCCATAGCAAGACCCTATCTTAAAAAAGGAAAAGATTCCAACTGGGCACAGTGGTGCATTCTGTAATGGCAGCACTTGGGAGCCTGAGACAGGAGGATGGAAAGTTTGAGACTCAGCTGGACAATTTTGAGAGACCGTGTCTTAAGGGGGTGGAGGTGGAGTATGGGAGATGTGGCTCAGTGCAAAGGCCCTGAGTATAAAAATTCAGTTGAAATTGTCTGCATTTGTGTTACTTTAACTTGTTTTGGTTCTTAAAAAAAAAAATGCTAACTTCATTCCTTATTTCACACAGAAAAATCTGTCAACATTTTAAAATATTTTAATACCCCTATTTTGATCTCTATTGATTACTGAAATTGTTCATTTTAGTATTTTCCACATAATAATTCAGGTTATCCATGTTGCAGACCTAAAGGATAGTTCTCACACTATGCTCCTTTGTTACTGTTTTTTGTTGTTGTTGTTACTGTTTGTTATTGTTGTTAGTGTTTTGTGTGCATGTGTGTTTGTTTTGTGTTTTGCTTTGTTTTGTCTTGTGTTTCACAGTACTGGGCCCAGGGAATGTTGAGCTACATCCTCAACCTGATTGATTGGTTGATTGGCTGAGACAGGAACTTGCTAAGATATCCACGCTGGCTCAGATTTGCAGCCCTCCTGTTTCAGCTGCCAGAGAAGCTGAAATTAGAGGTACACTACTATGTCCAGCCACTTCTACTAGTACTTTTTAATGTACTTTTTTTTTAGAACTGGGGATCGAACTCATGACCTCATCATGCTTGCCAGGCAGGTAGGTGCTTGTGCCACTGAGCTAAACCACCAACCCCTTGTACTTATCTTAAAAATCTCAGAACCTTTCTAAACTCAATTATTTAACCTGATTCTACTCCAGGAAAATGAAAGATGACAATTATAGTCTTGTTTTCCAAATAGAAATATTTTAAAGTAAAGCTACTCAGGTTTGTTTTAAAAGTCAACAGTGTAGAAAAGTATAAACCAAGGGATATAAACTACTGAGTCTTAATATTGGCCCAAAGCATGCTTATGAATTATAAGACTTAGTACTATGGATTGCCCGTTTCCTATGGCTTTAACTAACGTCTTAGTTTCCAAAATAAAAAGAACCATATTCTAAGGTAGAATCAGCACTACCTATTGGCCATTTAAAGTTATTTGTGTGTGTATGTATATCTGTTCTCCAGCTAGGATGAATAATTTAGAGCTGACTGGTTTCAGATTAAAAGAAGATACAATTACCTGTTGGTCTATTGTTAAACCTTATCTATTTGATGATGTGAATCAGGAGTCAAGGAATTGCTTTACAAAAATAACTTGTATTTTAGGCACAGTTTACCTGTTATGCTTCATTTATTGTTTTTACCCAAACTAAGTACAGATTTTACATTAAATTGACAGCTTATTTAATATCAGATAATAATAAAATTGATTCTTTCTTGTGACTTTCCCCTCCCCTCACTCTCTCCATGGCCTTTGTATTGCTTTAACCCTCCTCTTTCTCAGTTCCCCATAAAAAGGAAAAAGACCAAGCCCTTTATCAACCGGTCTCTCCCTACTCCTGTCCTTCTTGCCCCTTGGGGGCCCAGTATTGAAGATCCTCTTTGAATTCCTTCAATGTTGTTTTTTTTTTTTTGGTCTTTTTCCTTTTATCGGTACCGGGGATTGAACTCACAACCGCCTGCTTGCAAGGCAGGTGCTTATGCCACTGAGCTAAATCCCCTAATTTCTTCAATGTTTGCTTTCCCCCTTTCCTCTGGTTCTTCCTGTTGCCACTGAAGTCTTCATCTCTTTACTCTTCAGCTCACTTGAGCACCTCTTCTACTGATCGAAACTAGGTTTTAAGCCTCCAGCAGTGCGTTAGACCGGTGCCGTGCGAGATCATAGGCTTGGCTGTGGGTGCTGGATTGCTGGTCCCCTCAGATCCCTTTTCTGCTGGTTTCTGTCCCTTCCGAGTGGGTTTCGCCCATCACTGTGGTCCCTGCATTCCCTGGACCATCTGGACCATGGTACAGTCTCTTTAAATCTTTTAGGGATAACTGGATATGTGAGAGAAAATTTACAGGGAGTGTTAAGCAGGTCAGAACAGGAAAGTGCAATACATAACTTTAGCAAGCAGTATGTACAACAACAGAAGAAAATGGCTGTACCAAGAGTTTATATATCTCAAAAACTGCTGATGCTTTATGAAAAAGTAAAATGCAGTGGCCTCATTTTTATAGTCTTGCCTTTGCATGCAAAGAAAGCCCAGGAACTGCATATATTCCTATTTGGGGGGTCATGGTTTTCCAGGTAAAAACTCATCACAAGCAAAGTATGCAGTGGAGAAGCGGATTTATGTGGTGATCCAGGAAGGCCTCGTGGACGGACTGATGACGGTGGCAGCTGGGCCTGAGAGGTCAGAGACTTGGCTGCTGGAGGAGGAAGAAGCCTCGTTGGCTTAGCTCATTTTCAGGAACTTCCTTCCTCATCCTATAAGTGAGGTAAGAAGGACTTTTTAAAGATGTTTATGTTCTTTTAGATAGACTGCAGTGTTGGGAGAAGTGCAAGAATTGAGCTTCAAAAAAACAGTGTAAACTGGGCATGGTGATGGATGCCTGTAATCCCACCACTTGGGAGGCTGAGATAGGAGAATCACCAAGAGTTTGAAGCCGAACCTGGACTACATAGTGAGACTCCATGTCAAACCAAAATGATGATGATGGTGATAATGATGCTGTATTGCAGAACAGTAAGAATGGAAAGGTCTTACTGCACTTGTAACTATTTTGCAAGACTTACTTCAAAATGAATAGACTGCTCTTAAAAGACACATACACGGCTGGGGATTTAGCTCAGCAGCATAAGCACCTGCCTTGCAAGTGTGTGGTCAAGAGTTCGATCCCTGGTACCAATAAGAAAGAAAAAGACAAAAAAAAAAAAAAAAAAAAAAAAAGACACACACACCCTAAGCAGAGCTTCATTGCTCTTATGATACCAGTCAAGTAGTACTGATAATCATGCTGTGTTACTGGTCAGCTCTGAAGTGCTTAAGTCTATATCCTCAGTCTTTACCCTTGAATCTCCAACAGCACAGTGCATTTTCCATAATAGACACTTAGTATGGACAAGGGCTGATCCAAAAAGTGTGTTACAATTTTGTAAAAAGTTTATTGCGGGGCTGGAGGTTTAGCTCAGTGGCATAAGTGCCTGCCTTGCAGGCAGGCAGTCATGAGTTCGATCCCCAGTACCAATAAAAAGGAAAAAGACCAAAAAAAAGTTTATTTCAGTAAAAGACACATTGCTATTAATTGCCCTCAAAATATCTCCCCCACTTATCCCACCATTCTTTTTTAAAAGACTTTTTAATAATAAATGTGTGTTCTGAGCCCAGAGCACCCACTCCACACTCTCAGTACTAACCATGAGGGAGACGGAGTACCCCACCATTCTGCCACTTCTTTTGTTTTGTTTTTGGTACCGGGGGATCAAACTCATGACCTTGCACTTGCCAGGGTGGCGCTTATGCCACTGAGCTAAATCCCTGGCCCTTGTTTTGTTTTTTGAGACAGGGTTTCCCTGTGTAGTTCAGACTGGTCCTGAACTCGTAGAAATCCTCCTGCCTCCACCTCCAGAGTACTGAGATTACAGACATGGGCCAGCACCATATCTGGTTCTTGCCACTTTTTGTAGCATCTCTGGAAGCCTCTCTCCTGAGTGTCTTTACGAGCTGGGGTCAAACACAGTGACTGCTGCAGCCCAGTGCCAGCCAGTGGGAAGGCAGGCCCATAAAAACCCCATGGTGTGTCCTCATCCCCCTTATTCACTGGGTCTCGCACTGTGTGACTTCTGGGCTCTTTCCAAGTCACAGTGATCATCACCTCACTGAAACGTAACTGATTCAGGACACGAAGGCAGCCATGACAGCACCACTAAAGAGAGTCACAAAAGAAGACGCCTAGCACTGCTTCAGAAAGTGGCAAGAATGGTGGCGTGTATTCAGAATGGGCCAGTTTTCTGAGGGACATGAATGGCAGTGTGTCTTTCAGTGTGGTAAATTTTTCGATTTCAAACATTCACTCTTATTTTTTGATCACGTCTCATATTCAAAATCAGTTTAAAGTGGCTTCACTCTGGCCTCTTAAGTAGCTCAAGTACTCCATTGTCATTCCCGCCTTTACCTTTCTGTCTAAAGAACATGTATCTCTTAGAATACCATCCTCTTCGTATCACCTTCTTATTTCTCCCTGTGCTTCCTTTACCAAGCAGCAGGGCTCGTTCTGGTTGCCATTTAATCCATGGGAGTGAATGAGCTACCATCAGGCAGCAAGTGCATTTGAGCAGTAAAGGAAGATAATTCAAATCACAGCAGCCTAACACAAGAACTGGCTTTACAATGACATTTTAAAATTAGTGTTGTTTGCAGAGACTCTTTTCAAACACTTTAAAAATTTTATGGGCTAATCAGTAGGTTTTCTAAATGTCATTCCTCCGTTGACTTTATTACATTATTTGACTTCAATAAAATTCAGGAAGTTAGGATTTTTCACAGCTGATAGTAATCTAAATGCATTGATATTATCATAGCAGTTTGCAAACACTTCACTCTCAAGATTACATATTTTATTAGCTTGCTTCTGTTGCTGTTACAAAATACCTGACATCAATTTGACTGGCTTTAAAAAAAAAAATACCTGACATCTACAGTTTAATGGAAGCACAGTTTAGCCAGGTATGATGGCTCATGCCCATAATTTGAGCATCCTGGGAGCTGAGATGGGAGAATCGTGGTTTTGGGCTGAGTGTGGGTAACTCAGCAACATCGTGGCTCAAAAGAAGGGGCTGGAGATGTAGCTCAGTGGGAAGGTCCTGGGTTCAACTCCCACTGCTAAAGGGAGGAGGAGGAAGAGAAGAGAGAGGTTTAATTTGGTTCACAGTTTCTGAGGGTTCAGTTCATGGCATAGCAAAGGGTGCAGTGAAACACATTGCTCATTTTATGGTGGCTGGGAAAGCAGACAAGGAGAACAGCACCATAGAGGAAGGGGCCAGAGACCACATATAGTGCCCAAGCTAATGTCTCCATGGCCACCCAGAAATGTGCTGTACTTATCCTCCTGGCAACTCTTAAGCCAATCCATATGACAATCCAGTTTAGCTGTCACACATAAAGCATCATTCAAAAGTACCACAAATAGGTGGGCACGACAGTGCCCCCTGTGCCCCCTAGTACTTAGGAGGCTGTGGTGAGAAGACTGCATGAGTTTACCAGTTTGAGAGCAGCCTGGACAACACAGTGAGACTCTTAGCCAAAACAAAACAAAATCTTAAGTGAAATGGCATACATCTGTAACTCTAGTATTTGAGAGGCTGAGGCAGGAGGATTACCTGGAGTTTTGAGACCAGCCCTTAGCTATATAGTGAGTTCAAGATCAACCTGAACTACATAACAAAACTCTATTTCAAAAAATAAATTGTAAAGTAAAAACTTATCTTTTAAGTATGTCCATACTGCTCATAAGCAGAAATTCTGCCTTCCAAAAGAGAAGTAGCCAGGGATTTAGCTCAGTGGTGTAAGCACCTGCCTGGCAAGTGCAAGGCCCTGAGTTCAATCCCCAGTACCAAAAAACAAAAAAAAGGAGAAATAAATATGTGAAGTTACCACTATGACCACATTAGCTGAGTCTTATCTTATTAGTTTTCTCAGGCTGCTGTAACAAAACACGAAAGTCTAGTGGCTGAAACAACAAATTTATCATATCATTTCTAGAAGCTGAAATGCCCAATGAGGCAGGTAGACAGAGGCTGTTTTTTGTAAGGTCTCTAGTTTGCAAATAGCAGCCTTCTCTCTATCCTCAGGTGACAAACAAGCTTCTGGAGTCCTTCACGCAGCATGTGACCTTATTTAGAAATGAGTGTTTGCAGATGTAATGAATTTAAGAATCTTGAGATAAAATCACTCTGAATTTTCCAGGTTGGTCCTAGCTTTACTGACAAATGCCCTTGTGAAAGATGAAAGACAAAAAGATGAGAAGGTGAAGATGCAGAAGAAGAGATGAGGGCAGACCGAAGTTATGCAGCCACCAGAAGGCAAGACAGGTAAGATTCTCTTCTAAGCCCTTTGGAAGAAGTATGGCCCTGTACCTTGATTTTGGACTTCTGGTCTCCAGAAATGTGAGAAAAACAATTTCTGTTGAAGTTTGTGGTAATGTGCTTGGTAGCCCTAGCACTAATATTCTATGTATGCACTAACCAAAAGAAAACTAGATGGGTTTTATGATAGTAGTCCCTGCTTTTCCATGAGGGTGGAGTACATAGCAAGACCCACAGTGGATGTCTGAGGCTATGGCCAGGACCAAATCTTACCCACACATTACAGTGATACTTTGGATCATTAATAAGTAAAGTAAGGTTACCTAAACATAAGCACTGAATAGCTCAGCAATTGATCTGATAACCCCGATAGCTACCAAGTAACTATGTACCATATACAACATGGATACACTGGACAAAGGGATGACTCACATACAGGGCAGCACAGAGTAGGAATTTGGAAGATTTCTTCATCCTACTCAAAACTGCAATTTAAAATTTATGATTTTTTTTTTTTTTTTTTTTTTGAGACTGGGTCTGACTATGTCATCCAGGCTGACCTTGAACTCACTCACTATATAGATCAGGGTAGCCTTGAACTTGCAATCCTCCTGCCTTAGTCTCCCAAATGCTAGTATTATACCCATGCACCACCCTATCCAGCTGAAATTTTCTATGTAGTTTTTTTGGACTGTGATTGGCAGCAGATAATTGAAAGTTTTAGAAAGTAAAACTGCATATAGTTGGGACTACTGCACTGTCAAAGTAGCTTACCAAGCAAAGACTACTCAGGATTAAAATCATTTCATGATGACAGCAGGGTCAGTGTGATAAGAGAACATAACAACCCTAATGATTTTGTACCTCATAGAGCTCCAAGACACAAGAAACAAAACCTGAAACAACAGAAAGAAGGAAGTGTAACAGTTATGCTTGTGAGTTTCATTGTCTAGGGACTGCCTATGGGATTAGTAAAGCCTGCTCCTGAGTGTGTCTGGATGGGTTGTAGAGGTGTGACTTTCTGTCCAAATTTGGCCTCTAGACCATTTCTCTCTGGTGCTGTTCCCTGCACTGCTTCCTGATCACCATGAATTAAGCAGCGCTGTTTCTCTCCTCCTTCCTGACTCCCTGCATCTCTTGGTCCCCTTTCTATTTGCAAAAGACCTGTCTCACTGTTTCTTATAGCCTATCTTTTATTTTTAAATTATTTATACTTTGGGCTTCTCATCTAAGAGAAGTTGTATGATATTTAATCTTACCTGTCTGATTTATTTCACTTAACATTGTGGTCTCAAGGTGCATCCATTTTTCTATGAATTTGTCCTCTATGTGTATAAAAACCACAGTTCCTTTATCCAGTCATCTGTTGATGGGTATATAGCCTGTTCCTAAAAGCTTTAGCTACTATGAGTTGTGCTATTATAAACATGGGCATGCATGTATCACTGTAACATGTTGTCTGTAACTTTTTTTTGTCTCTAACTCATTTTTGTTGTTGTTGTTGTTGTTTTGTTTTTGTCTGTAACTCTTTTTTGAAGATGCCAAGAAAGGAAATATCCAGGTTGAATAGAAGTTTTAGTTTTCATTTTTTGAGGAATCTCCATCCTGATTTCCATAGTGGCTGTACCAGCTTACATTCCCATCAACAATGTAGAAATTCCTCAACCCTATGAAGCCTGACCGACATTTATTATTGCTTTTTTGAAGTGCCAAGATTACATGTATGTGCCACCCTACCTGGTTGTTTGTGGGTTTTTTGAGGCAAGGTCTTGCTTGTAGTCTAGGCTGGCCTTTACCTAACTATGTATTGTTTGTTTGTTTCAGACAGGATCTTCCTATGTAGTTCAGGCCGGCCATGAACTCACCATCTAGCCCAGGCTGGCCTCAGCTCATGGTAATCCTCTGCTTCAGCCTCCCAAATGCTGGGATTACAGGCATGCAACATCACAGCTGCCCCAAAATTATTATGTAGCCCTGACTGACCTTGAATTTATTATCCTCCTGTCATACTAAGCTATATCCCTACTCTTTTTTTTTTTTTTGAGATATAATCTGAGTTCCCTAGCCAGGACTTGAACTTGTATTCCTCCTGCCTCAGAGCTTCCCAAATGCTGGCATTGCAGAGGTGTGCCACCATACCCAGCTTATATTTTGAGACCCACCATACCCATCTTATATTTATAGATCTCACTAAATTGCCTATGCTCTTGCAGTCCACCTGTGCCACCTTCCCAAATGTCTGAGATTTTTATGTATACAATAAAAGGGAAAGTAGGAAATTCAACATTCAAATTCAATTTATTGGGCACTTTCAATAAAGAATAAAGTGACAGAAAATTTGACAACCGTAAACCAATATGCTAGCACATAACTACTGAATACTCTATCCAGGACATAATATACATTTTTCTCAACTACACATACAACAGTCTCCAAGATCGTCTAGGTCAGTGGTGGCGAGCCTAGCGCAGGCGTACTGCAGGGGGCTGTTTGTTATCATTGAAAGCTCTAAAATGTTCACCATCACTGGTCAAGGCCGTAAATAATTTGAAAGGAACAGAAGTTACATGAAGCAGATTATCTGACAAAAAACTGAATGAAATGAATAATCAGTAAAAATCTGAGAGACCCAAAAGTATGTGAGAAATAAATAAAATATTCCTGAACAATCAGTGGGTCAAAGAAAAAATTAAAAAGAAAAGAAGTATGGTAGTACATGCCTGTAATACGTTTCACCCATTTTCCTGAGTAGGTATATCTTTCTTTGTTGGTTACCTCTGGGGTCATTTCCAGTGGCTTTATTTTAGTTTATTATGTTGGTGGGCACTGAACCCAGAGCCTCCCACATGTAACACAAGCACTGTGTCACTGAGCTACATCCCTAGTCCTACTTCCAGATGATTTAAATGGTTGTTTTTTAAAAGTTATCTCACCAGCTCAGGAGAGCTTTTCAGACTGTTGTGATAGAAGTCAAGTTTTAAAATGTGGCTATGCAAAAAATGCAATGGCCTATATTTGATTTAAGTCTAAGGGCAATAAAAATAATAAACATAATAATACATAAATATAAACTGCACAATTTATATGTAATAGTAAAATTTTATATTATGTTTTTGATAGTATATGTGAAGTAATAAAACATACATTTTTCTTTTGTCTTTTGGGCCTCTTTGTGTTTTTTTTTTTTTTTTCTCACAACATGTATGTAGTATAAATTTTAATCTTAAAGGAAATAACCTGATTTTTTTTTTTTTTTTTTTTTTTTTTTGGCACCAAGAATTGACCTCAGGACCTTGAGCTTTTCAGGCAGGTGCTGTGCTGCTGAGCTATATATCTAGTCCCAGAATCTGATTTTTTAAATCAGAGATTAACAGAATCTCTCTCAATCAGTAATGAAAGTTTTGCTGAAATAAACATGCAATCATTCATATATATATATATATATATATATATATATATTTTTTTTTTTTTTTTTTTTTTGGTGGGTATCAAACTCAGGACCTTGAGCTTTCCAGGCAGTTGCTTGCCACTAAGTTATATTCCCAGCCCCTTTTCAAATATATATTAAGGTTGGAGGTGGGGATTTAGCTCAGTGGCATAAGCGCCTGCTTGGCAAGTATGAGGTCATCAGTTCGATCCCCCATACCACATACACACACACACACACACACACACACACACACACACACACATACACACAATATAAATATATATATATTAAGGCTACAAATATGTGGTCTAATGCACTGTGTCCAGTTCTTTAGAAAAAAAGAAAAGTTTTGTCTTTGGGTTGAAAACTGCTTATTCTGAACTTTGAAGTCACAGTCCAACTTATAACCCACTCATTGCTGAATAGCATAGTTATATATGCTATTATGTTCATGCCTTAAGTGCCATGTATATGTGTTTTATTCAAGAAAGCTGTTGATTAGCTAAAGGAGCATAATTTACTATTTGTTCACTGACCATAAATACATCAGCTCTCCATTACTGTTCACCATAAACACTTTTATTGTTTGGTCAGCTGGAAAAGAATATTTGTAATTTATTACCTAGTTTATTAAGCACCTGCTACATATAAGGTGTTCTGTTTTTGAGATACGTAAAGCAATAAAAGCTAAGATGAAAAGCCAGGCATGGGGGCACAGGTCTGTAGTTCCAGCACTCTGTGAGGCTGAGGCAGGAGGATGGCAAATTCAAGCCAGGCCTATGTAATTTAGCAACTCTGTCTGAAAAACAAACAAACAAAAAAAAAGCTGGGTATGTAACTCAGGGTAAAGGTCCTAGGTTCAATCCCCAGTGCCACATACACAAAATGAACAAACAAAACTAAGATAAAGACAGGCCAAGACTGGCTATTAACTGGTAGAAGTTCAAATTATTTTGTACACTATGACTTTTTACGGGGTCTGTTTAATAACTGGGAACCCAAAATACATTTAAATAGCCTGGAATTTATTAAGCACATACTATGAGTGAACAATTTAATAAACATGCGCTTTAATATTCTTTAAGTATATATTTAATTTCATAATAGATCTGTAAGATAGGTAGTATTCTACTTTACAGATGAGTAAACTAGAGAAGTTAAACTTCCTAACGCTATACAGGGCGATTAAAATATATGATTTTTGTTTTGTTTTTTTGAGACAGGGTCTTGCTATGTAACTCAGGCTGGCTTTGAACTCACTTTGTAGCCTAGGGCTGGCCGCAAACTTGCAGCAGTTTTTCTGCCTCAGCCTACCAAGTGCTGGGATTATAGGTATGTGCTACCACACCTGGCAAACTTTGCTTTTTAAAGACAAGGTCAATCCAGGCTGTTCTCAAACCCTCAATCCTTTTGCCCCAGGCTTCTCAGGCAGGAGGGATTACTGGAATGTCCCAACACACCCAGCCTAAATGTTGGTACTAGAAATCTTATTTTAACAGAATAAAAGTGATCAACCCTGGTGTGGTGATGCATACCTGTAATCCCAGCAGTCAGGAGGCTGAGGCAAGAGGATCAT